CCTAATGCGATGAGGCGCGCGGGTCGAGACACGCGAGTCTTTTGTCGACACATAGCGACGTGGCGATACCGGTCAGAACACGTTCGTCCTTCGAGTCGTATAGACTGTCGAAGTAGCAATTATCAAACAGCGATATAAGAGGCCGAGTCCTCTATTAAGGTGCGATAAGAGGCCGAGTCCTCTATTAAGGTGCGATCGGAGGCCGAGTCCTCAAACTCTTCATCTAAATAAAAACGAGATCCGAAACTAGTGTGTGGAATTAATCTTCCCCGCACGCAACAAGATTCGTTAACTTTCTTATAACTGTATCCACTATATTCCGACTGTTGTAATAAAATAAATCTCACAATTTTTTAATATAGATTTTAAAATGAACTTAAGGCCCGGTTTCACCAACATTTAACCTTAGTTTAACTGACCCTTAAAAAGAGACAAAGAGTGAGTTGAGCTAAGTCCCAGTCTACAATAGATGATTTAAGCCCTAAGCTTTAAGAAATTGGCCAATCACGGTCAAGTATGAGTAGAATGCGCGACTGTGATTAGTCAATTTCTTAAGGCTTAGGGCTTAAATCTCTATTGTAGACTGGGACTAAGGTTTAATGTTAAGCGACGTTGGTGTGAAACCGGGCCTAAGAAGTCAAAATATATTATTTCCACGCGAAGATCTTAAAGTACATGGCCACCGATATTGCTTAACGCGACACAATTCCGCCTGCATTCCGTTATCACCTATAAAACACCGAGGCACATTCTCTGTGTGATGGGTGCAGGCTGCTATAACTGCTTGGAGGAACATACGGCGTGTAACGACGATTGCTAAAACTGTTTGAAATATACAATTAAATGTAGAAAATGGTAAAGGAAAATATACGATAACTTTGTGGTACTTACACACTACACTGTTTCTTGGAGGATGACATTTCCTGAAGAGCATAATAATTCATTCTTGCTAAGGAAATCTTAAGACCTATCAGGACCCGAAGAAACTGGTTGATAAATACGAACTTCTTGTCTAACGTTCGTGGGTCCCACGTATTCCTAGTTCTCGATTTCGTATAAAATCTCCTACTGTGGTACAGCGGGCTTCCGGACCGTTTATATGCCATAAAAAAGTCGCTGTCAGCAGCCAGGTTTCGGCGCTTGATCTCATACTGTTGAGAAACGCACAAAAGTATTTTTCGTTATGTTGTAATGACATTTTATCCTAGTGTATAAGTTATGTTTAAGAACCTGATCTCTTTGTACTAGGGAAATTATCGTTAAGCATTTTGTGCACTCGTTTCCGGTTTGCTTGCGAGCTCTCTCTCTTCCGTTACGAACGTTTCAGCAGAGCAGACGTGTATCTCGAGGCACCGAATAAATTCTGTGATAACACAAACCATCTTTTTCTCTTCAAGCCCAAACACCGAAAAATATAACAGGTTATGGGCCCAGTAACCAGAAATTAGCGTAATTTTTCGGTCGGGAGAAAAGATCTGTTGCGTGTATTCGGTGGAAGAAGCAAGATTGTCTATCGAGGTTAGCCGCCACGAGCAAAAGTGCAATATACCAAAATGGACAACGAGCTTGCAAGAATTGAGAAGCTGAAAGGCCTGGAAAACTGGGGAACCTGGAAATTCCGAACAAAAATTCTAATCCAAGCGGCGGATGCTTTTGAGATAGTCGATGGAAGCACGGAAAGACCAAGGTCACCAACGGCAGGCACAAGCGAAACCGAAATGGCGGACTACCGGAAGAGCATCAAGGCATGGAACAGTCTAGACAGTAAGGCACAAAAAATAATAGCCACTACGGTAAGCGAACAGCCCTTATTACATATCATAAATTGCCAGTCTGCCAGAGAAATGTGGGAAAAACTACATGAAGTTTTCAAAAGTAAAAACGAAACAGCAAAACACATTCTCCAGCAACAATGGTATACTATCGGAAGAGAGGGCTCAGACGACATGGCCACTCACATAGCCAAAATCAAAGACCTCGCGTGTCGTCTGAAACTCCTCGGCGAACCTGTCTCAGACGGTATGGTCATGACAAAAATTCTAATGACACTTCCATCCTCCTACCAGCATTTCAATACTGCGTGGGAATCGACTGATCAGCACCAGAGGACTCTGTCAAATCTCACAGCAAGACTTACAATGGAGGAACTGTGAAACAAACAACTTGAAAATCAAGAAAACAGCGCTTTTGCGGCAAAAACGGAGCGACGTCAGACGCAAGGAGAAAAGAAGACGGACAAACAAGTAGGAAAATGTTTCAGGTGCGGAAAAACAGGTCATTGGAAGCGTGACTGTAGTGTAAGGGATAGGATATCCGGAATAAAGATTACTCACTGAATTTAACGCGACTACTTTATTTCGAATAAACGGGCTTCCCAGCAAGTGAACTAATTCCGGAGAGAAAGTTCGAGCAGGATGGATCTGGGAAAAAGCCTCCGGAGCACCGCGTGCTCCGGTTTTTATTAAAGCGCGTTTCGGTTACGCGCGCACCAGCGGCGCGCTCGGCTGCTACATGATTCACGACCGCGCTTACAGCGCCGTCCGTCTCGCTGCCGCTATCACCTACCGGGTGTGCCGGAGGGTCGGGATCAGTCGGGATGATACTTGTACATGAATATAAGTATCTTACAGTTCGACCATCCTGACACGACATTCGCCTCGAATGTAGAGCGTGCGAAAACGTTGACTTTCGCGCGTAGTCAAACGGCTGAGGCCTTGAGGCTTCTGAAACACAAACATGGAGCGCTCGAGCCTTCAGCGATCTAGCTCGACCGTTCCGTGTTCTCAATATTATTATTTCCCCTTTTTTTCCGCATTCCTTCATGCCTGATGTCTCGGTCGTGCTCTGAGCGGACTCTACGTTTTGGTTCGTTTAGCACGAGCGTGTGAATTATTATTTGTCGCTTTCCTTAATTTCTAACGCGGTTTTACTTGAACAAACTTATAGCTAGCGCAAATTTTTATTTCCATGTAGTCCTATTGTCTAGCACTTTTTCCGCAATCTTATTATCTAACGCATTTACAGGTAACTTATTATCTAACGCATTTTCAGGTAACTTATTCTAACGCATTTTCAGGTAACTTAGATGACCGCCTTGATCCACGGTTTTAGTTTATCCGGTGACAATATTGCGTCGTACGGTTTCGGAGTTTCGTTGTATCCCGGTATATCCTGTACCACATAGCGATTATTATTCAATACTCGGGCTACCACGAACGGTCCTTTGTACTTCGACTTGAATTTATTATTTTGACCCGGTTTGTTTTGCAAGTCGCGGATCATCACATAGTCGCCTGCTTTGTACTGGGTTGGCTTCGCATGCCGCTTATCGTAATACTGCTTGTTATAATTTCGCAGCTGTTCCGTTGCCTTTACAGCCACGTCTCTTTTTCTTTCTCTCTCGCTAGTCAATTCGGTGTCTATCTCCCCGAGTCGATTGACGAGGTCCACCAGTGATTTATCTGCGTGGTTCCTACAATCGTAGCCTAGCAGCAATTTCGCGGGTGTACTTTTCAACGCTGAGTGCGGTGTATTGTTGATTATGTATTGAGCATTAATCAACCGCGATTCCCACTGAGCGGGTTCCGAAATTAACTTTGTTAGCGAGGATTTTAAAAATCTGTTGACTCTTTCTACTAGCCCGTTGGCCCACGGAGAAGCTACGGCTACCTTTCGGTGCTTTACCTCCAGTGACTTGACGAAAGATGCGAAGTCATTGGACGTAAAGGCTGTGCCTCTGTCGCTTACGATTTCTTTCGGATTTCCGAAAATACTAAATAAGAGTTTTAAATTCGCGATAACTTCTTTGGTGGTAGTGGATCTCGTTGGGAACAACCAAACGAACCTTGTAAATGAGTCCACCACGACCAGTACGTGCTGATTTCCGCCTTCTATCCTTTGTAGCGGACCAAAATGGTCTATGCAAATCGCCTCGAACGGTTCCGTCGCGTTCGGCGCTATTTGCATCTCGCCTTCACGAGAGTGTACCGACGCATTCGCCATAATACATGTAATACAATTGTCTATATGATCTATGATTCGTTTTCGCATCGAAGGGAACCAATACGTAGCGTGAATTCCCTCGAAGGTTTTCTCCACCCCACAGTGAGCCATGTTGTCATGGTATATTCGTATAATGTTGCCAATCATGGCTTCGGGAAGCACGAATCTCGCGCGATCCGTTCCCTTGCGATAGACTAACCCGCCGGCGAGCTCGAATTTGTCGTCGTCTTTAAATTCGAGTTCGTCAGCTATAGATTTAATCTTCGCGTCCGTCAACTGTTTTAACTCTAGTTCCCTTTCGATGGTCATCGAATCTATATACGCTATTTGCCGGCTAAGAGCGTCGACGTGCGCCATGCGCTCTGCCGGGCGATGTTTCACCGTAAATTTATAATTTTGCAATGCCAGAGTCCACCTGGCTATTCGCGGGTTGAGATTGGCTTTATTGACTGCGTACACTAACGCGTTGCAGTCTGTAACTACCACAAATTCGATCCCGTATAAGTATATGTGAAAACGTTCGATTGCGCGAACAATGGCGAGCATTTCTAACTCGAAACTGTGATAATTTTGCTCGGCTTTATTGGTGGCCTGACTGAAATAAGCTACAGGCGACCAATCGCCGGATTGTTGCTTTTGTAATAATACTCCACCGAGACCGCTAGAACTCGCGTCTGTATGTAATTGCGTTTCGGCCGTTGGATTAAATAAACTTAGCAATGGTCGAGAGACCAACTCCCTTTTTATCATCTCGAAAGCATCGATACAACTGGCGTTGAAATCGAACGTCGCGGATTTACGTAACAGTTTGCGGAGTGGCTTTACCTTTAGCGTGAAACCGGGGATGAATTTGCGGAAGTAGTTTGCCAATCCCAAGAACCGTTGGACTTCTACTATTTTTCCTGGCCTTGGAAACGAGCTGATTGCTTGCGTGTGTCTTGGACTCAAAGTTATCGAATTCGGCTTTACTATATAGCCTAAGTATTCTATGGTCGACTTTAGAAAGTGACATCAATATTCAGTTTAAAATCGTACCGTCTCAAGATTGAAATAACTTCGTTTAGGACCTTCAAGTTTGCCTCGACCGTTTCCGTCGCGATCATGATATCGTCCATGTACACTATAACCTTGTCCGCTCTTATGAGGGGCGAAAGTATACTGGCGATTCGCTTTTGAAATTCGGCTGGCGAGTCACAGAATCCGAACGGGAGACAAGTATATTCGAACTGCCCGTCGGGCGTAGCGAATGCGAAATACTTAGTGTCCTCCGCGTGAACCTTAATCTGGTGAAAACCGTCTTTTAAGTCCAGCAACGTGAAAACCGATTTATTGCTTAAATTTGCAATGCAGTCTTCGATTAATGGAAACGGGTACTTTTGTTTGACGACTCTACTATTTAAGGGTCTCAAGTCCACACACAAGCGAATCATTCCGTTTTTCTTTCTAACCGGGACCACCCTTGCGCAATACGGCGAATTACTTTCTTTTATTATTCCGCGCGCTAATAGGCCGTCCGTTATTTCGCGTAGTTGCTTGCGCTCGGCGAATGCGATTCGTCTAGGCGCATACGCGTAGATGGATTCGTCTTTGAGGTGAATCCGTACACTGTAGTCCTCTTGGACTTTATCAATTTTCTTTTTCTCGGCATTGAGCAATAAATCGCGAACCTTCCTGTCGGTTTCCGGGCCGAAGTCTGTATGGATTTCCGCGATACTTTTCTCCCCGTGCGTGTCGCCCTTTGACGAATCAAAGACGTCGCAGGCGAGTATCTGTAGGAGAGACCGTGAGAACAGCTGTTCGTTGCCGTCGGCTGGCTTTGCCGTCGGGCAATAGATTGCTGTGATTCCCTGACTATCGAGGAAATCTCGGCCCACTATTACATCAGTGACAAGTTCGTCGTTTTTTAACACGTGAAGCGTGATTGGAAACGGGTGCGGCACGTCGTGAAACTTAACTGTGGTTTGCAACGAGCCCTCGAGGTCGACCGATTGATTGTTCAATGCCTTATAGGTAAGTAACGGTTTACGCAATATTTTTCTAAATTCTACCAGATAACTATCGACAACCGAAGGTTTTACGAAGGATATAGGACTTCCGGTGTCCACTAACGCGGTTAACCTACAAGAATGGCTATTTAGCTGCTCTATTACTAACGGAACATTTTTTATTTTCAGAGTCCTACCGTCGGGCTGCCCGCACGCCACCGTCTGGTCCTCGGCGATGATCGCTGCCACCGTCGAAGCTGCCGTCGGGGGGGTCGAAACCTCTGGTGAGACTGCTGACGCGGATGCCGCTGCCGGGGTTGCTGACTCTGTCACGGCCGCTGCTGTCGAGGAAGCTGACTCCGTCACGGCCGCCGCTGTCGAGGAAGCTGCCGCTGACGCCGCTGGTGAGCTCCCCTGCTCCTTCCTTTTCAGCTTGTAGCAGTCGGCACGAAGGTGACCCTTCTTGCTGCAGTAATTGCAGACGAGGTCCGTCCTGGGCTGCTTTCCCGATGCCGGGGCCTTGCCGCTGCTTCTGCCGGCTCCTTCCTTCTTCTCCTTCTGCTCCGCCTGGTGCCTCCGATCCGGCTCCGCCGAGATCGACGTGATCTGGTGCATCAGGTCGAGGAATTCGTCCACTGAGGTGCAGGATAGAGCTGCTGCCGTCTCTCTCATTGATCGGCCGCTTATCCCGCTGATCAGCAAGTGAATCATGCTGTCGGTCGACAGGTCAAGACCGTGCATGAGATTTATCTTGTCCATGGCATACTCCAAGAATGTCTCTTTCGAGTACGTCCATTTACGCGCCTCTATTTTTTGCAGCGCCACATGGTACAGTACCTTGCGGGAGAACCTCTTCAGGATGGCTGTCCTGAAGCCGTCCCAGGATTCCAGCATGCTGCCTGACCCTTGGTCGTACCAGCGTTTCGCTGTCTTTGTCAGCTTCGAAGATGCTGCTAACAAGGTAACGTCTCCTATTACCCTATGAATACTAGATACTTGCTCGACTCGTTTTATCCACAGCTGTACGTTTTCGTCTTCCAGGCCTCCGTATTCGGGAATCTGGGATGAGAGCATCGATACAGCATGCGAGGACGAGACCGATGAGAGTGTCGTCTGCGGCGACTGAGTTCCGCTCCGTGGAGATGGCGGTCCGCTTCCCCCTGCTCCGACGTTCCTGACTCCAGGGTCGTTGTAGCTGTGGGTCGCTCCCTCGCGACCGCCGACAGCATCTGCTGCATCCAACAGGTTCTGGGCCTTCTGCGCCTGTAGAATCTGCTGCTGCAGTTGCTGCATTGGCGCGGTGATTGCTGCGACGAGGGCCGTCATCTCCGGCGAGATCTGCTCCGATTGCGAGGGGCGTCTTGGTCCTTTCGGCACCGTCCCCGTGCTTGCCGGGCCTAGATTGTCGGTGCTTGCCGACTTGTGCGCCCACGTCTTTATCGTTGCTTCCAGGTTCGGGTTGAACCTGGTGCGCTCCGCTTGCGCCGTGAGCGCGCTCACTAGGGTCTCTTTATCCTCCGCCACCGGGAGGTGGGCCTTGCGAGCTGCCTCTTTTAGATCCTCGACGGTCATGCCCTCGAATACCGCACGATCCATGCTTGTACAAAATGGAGGCCGTCGTTGAATCTCGTGGCACGTTCGCACTGCGTGCTTCTGGTTCCTCTTTGAGGTCCGTCTGCTGAATCCCCCTTCTGAGATTGTAAGGGATAGGATATCCGGAATAAAGATTACTCACTGAATTTAACGCGACTACTTTATTTCGAATAAACGGGCTTCCTAGCAAGTGAACTAACTCCGGAGAGAAAGTTCGAGCAGGATGGATCTGGGAAAAAGCCTCCGGAGCACCGCGTGCTCCGGTTTTTATTAAAGCGCGTTTCGGTTACGCGCGCACCAGCGCCGCGCTCGGCTGCTACATGATTCACGACCGCGCTTACAGCGCCGTCCGTCTCGCTGCCGCTATCACCTACCGGGTGTGCCGGAGGGTCGGGATCAGTCGGGATGATACTTGTACATGAATATAAGTATCTTACAGTAGATCAAAAGTAGGAAGCGCAAGTAATACAAAGTCTGAAAGATCAAACACAAAAACTGAAGACCGAGGCGCAGCATTTGTAGGACAGGCTGTAGCAGAAACAGCATTCGTCTCTCAAGAAGGTACAAAGGCATGGTACTTAGACTCCGGCGCGAGTCAGCACATGTCACCAATGCGTCCCTGGTTTGTAAAATACGAGAGGTTAGATTCAGTCGTTCCGATAAAAACTGGAAGTGGAAAAATTATTTACGCCACAGGAAGAGGAGAAATAGACATTTACGCATACAATGGAAGTAAGTGGCAGCGCAATTATTTAACTGGGGTTCTACATGTACCTGAGCTAAAGTTTAATTTGTTCTCTCTATCGTCTGCATTGGATAAAGGCTTGAAACTGTCATCGGATAGTCAAAGGTGTGAACTGAGGAAAAACGGGGTCGCAGTTGCAGTGGGAGACAGACACGAGAATCTCTTTAAAATGAGTTTCAAACCCTACATTTCAGATATTCAGAATAATGGAACAGTACAAGCGCACGTACATGTTGAAGAGGATTCATTCGATATCTGGCATCAAAGATTAGCACACCAAAATGCAACGCACGTCTTGAAGGCGTTGAAGACTTGGGACATCAAAGCCACACAGAAACAGAATTGGTTTTGCGAAGGATGTACTCTGGGAAAGATGAATCGGAAGCCTTTCCAACAAGCCCGTCACAAACCAAGCAACCTGGCGAACTAATCCATATGGATCTCTGTGGGCCCATGGAAAATCATTCAGTTGGAAACTCCAAATACTTTATGCTATTAAAGGACGATTATTCACATTACAAATTCGTGTATTTCATTAAGGAAAAAACCGAGGTAGTAGGAAATTTTAGAAACTTCCTCAAGAGAATAGAGAACGAAAAGGAATTAAAAATTAAAAGGCTAAGAACCGACAACGGCTTGGAATTCGTAAACAAGGAAATGCAAAAAACTTCTAGCCGAGAATGGAATTAAACACGAGAGGAGTGTTCCATATACACCAGAGCAGAATGGAGCAATCGAGAGAGAAAATAGAATAGTGGTTGAAGCTGCAAGAAGCATGCTGCATGCGAAGAAAATGCCATTAAAGCTATGGGCAGAAGCGGTTCACACGGCAGTCTACGTACTTAATCGCACAGGAACTAGCAGCGTACCAGGGAAAAATCCATACGAGCTATGGCACAGCAAATCTGCAGGCAGGTCCGAATACAAGATTTTTGGAACCGAAGCATTCACATACATACCCAAGCAACGGAGGTCGAAATGGAACGCCAAAGCAAGGAAAGGAATCTTCGTAGGCTATGATGAGAACACAAAAGGTTTCAGGGTGTATTTTGAAAACGAAAATAAAATAGAAATACACAGAGATATAAAGTTTCTACCAGAAAAAAAGCGAAGAAATAGAAGAACAGAAAATGATAGAAGAAATACTTTTAGAGCAAAAACCTGAAGAATCAGAAGAGAAAGGAGAAGAATCCGAGAAAGAGCAACAGAACGTACAGCAAGAAGAAATAAAAAATCAAGAGTTGGAGTCTAATGAAGAAACAAGAGATCACGAAAAAATCCGGAAATCGGAAGAAGACTCAAGTGATTCGGAAGAAATTCAGCGACCACAGGAAGATACGCGAAAACTTCGAAACAGAGCAACCATTAGAAAGCCATCTAAATATAAAGAATTCGAGCTAGACTTCGAAGAGCTGTTTGTTGCAGAGAGCAAAAATCCACTCACTTACCAAGAAGCAATTCAGTGCGAGGATGCGGAGGTCTGGAAGAAAGCAATGAAAGAAGAAAAAGAATCTCTGGACAAAACCCGAACGTGGAAACTGGTAGATCCACCCGAGAATAAACAAATTCTTCGGAATAAGTGGGTTTTTAAATACAAACCAGATGCCAAGGACAACATGGGTAGATACAAAGCAAGACTTGTCGCCAAGGGTTTCACTCAAAGGCCGGAAGTGGATTACGGCGAAACATTCAGTCCAGTGGTGAAATTCGGCTCAATCAGGTCAATTCTGGCGGTGGCAGCAGCAACGGGGATGAAACTTGCACAGTTTGACGTGAAGACGGCGTTCCTGAATGGAGATCTGAACGAGGACGTATACATGGCCCAGCCGGAAGGTTACGAGGATGGGTCTGGTCGAGTATGCAAACTGAATAAGGCACTGTACGGCCTTAAGCAGTCTGCTAGGTGCTGGAATCAAAAATTCACAAACTGCCTAAAGGAGTTTGACTTAAGAGCAACCGAGGCAGATCCGTGTCTTCACAGCAGAAAATAATGGAGAAAGCCTCATCCTAGCGATCTACATTGACGACGGCTTGGTCGCCTCATCTTGCAAGAAAAAAGCCGATGAACTCCTGAAGTACTTTGCGACAAAAATTGAGATAACAGTAACCCCATTACGTTTATTTTTAGGCATAGAGATAGAACGTTTTCTGGATGGTTCACTTTGTATAAACCAGAGCAAGTACGCCGAGAGAATCGTGGAGCGCTTTCGGATGGAGGACGCACACGCGGTATCCGTTCCAGCTGATCAACACCAGGACCTGAGCTTGGAGCGTCCCGAAAATGAAGGAAGGCAGATCAAGGTGCCTTACAAGGAAGCTGTAGGAAGCCTGCTCTATCTTTCAATGGTGACAAGACCGGACATAGCGTACGCCGTTAACGCAGTGAGTCAGTACACGGAGTCGCCAAGCAAGGAATACTGGAATGCAGTGAAGCGTATCATTAAGTATGTAAAGGGAACGGTAAAACTTCGGAAACACGGACCCAGCCCCAATGACCTTGATCTTGGCATATGTTGTCAAGGTCACCTTACTGAGTGACCTTCAGAAAGTTTTAGCCGTCGCTCGTTGTTCGTTAAAAAGTTATGGAGAAAAGAAGTTTCGCAAATGCTATGTAGTTCACGATATCGTGTACGTTTAGGATGGCCTCACGTGGAAAGTTTCTGACACCATATACAATTCAAAGAATGTATAAGTGTCTTTGATATTATTAAGCATACGAATGAGAGTAAGCTATCCACAGTAACATCACAACAAATCCCTTACAGTCGAATTTCACTCGTCAAGCTTACGACTCGCGACGTGTTACTAACGTAAGATGTTACTTCACGAGTTTCTTCATCTCACGTATAAAAAAGATGAGCTCATTAGATATTTGAGCGAGAAAAAAGTAATTCGCCAAGACATTGAGTGTCCACAGTGCAAAAATATTGTGAATGTGACATACGAGTCAGACACACACGTTCTACACTGTACCAATAAATACTACACGCAGATATTTACAATATAA